TGCTTATGCCCTGCCGTGTTGTCCCTCCAACAGATATTGGGGTGGTTGAAGTTCCCCATGAGGACCAGGGCTTGTGAGCGTGAGGCTGCTCCTATCTGTCTATAGAGGGCCTCATCTGCTCGGTCTTCCTGGTCTTGTGGCCTGTAGCAGACCCGACTATATTATAGACTGGTAGAGGTCATATTGTATAATGAGGGTAGAAAAAATAATGTTCTTTACCTAGATATCCTTCATACTGAAAAAAAAATGGGTTTACTTAAAATCATTTTGTATTTCAGTGATATAGGAGTTTAAAAATATTACTATTGTATTTGCTGTCATTAACAAATACACTGAGGCAATAATTTTCAGTGAAAGTTTTTGTTTCTCAAGGCAATGTAATTTCTGTTATTATTACTTCTTTCTTTCTGGACATTATATTTGTGTAGCTAGATATTATGCTGCAGTTTTCTTGTTTTGATTCTGATTATTTTTTTCCTTTTTTTTTTTAGAATTTTGTTGAAAACCAATTTATGCTAGGTTTGCACAATTTATAATGATGATTTGATATCACACTGCTTAGTGAAACCCTGATTCTATTTTCATTTTCTTACTTTGGAGTTGTTTGTTTGTAGTTTCACTAGTGGAAAAATGGTTTTGCTAACATAATCTATCTTTTTTTTGTGGTATTTTTAGATATGACGTTTTATGAAATATACTTCTATATGGCATAATATGGATATGCCATATTATTACACAGGTAACAGGGATTTGGAAGTCTTTCCCTGTTGCTTTGCTGGCATCAGCTTGAATTTGGTCTTGAGGCCCGTGACCACCATCAGTGACCAAGCCATAAGGTCAGTCATTTTGCCTTGGAAAACAAACCTACCCAGCTCTATCACTTCTCTTTCTTTCCTGGCCTCAGAAGCTACCATACCTTAAACTCAATAACTCAGACAGGTACAGAGTTTCAGGATGGATATTTAGCCTTTGGAGAATGATTAGTACAGTGTGCCTGCTGTTATAATGTGTCAGTGTCATCAAATCACTCATCGAACACTGCAGGAATATCCTTTTGCTGAAAAAAAGGAAACGCATTTTAGCACCGACTGCTGTATGCTTCACCAGGTGAAGAAGTTGTTTCCCTGAGTGTTGTCATTCCAATACATCTTGCAGCAGCCATAGCCCCATGCAGTGCAGGAACAGCCAGCCTTGGGTGGTTGGTTTGGTTTTGAGTGCCATGTGCCAGCTATGCATGACCCTTTGCAGAGTTACAAGCACAGCTCCTGTGCATTTAAAACACTCTCAAAACCACTTTTCACATCCACAAGCTCCCAAATGTAACGGAGGTTAATTTGGTGTCCCATGAGAGGAAAAAGTAGATGCCCAACATTTGGAGAAAAGGCTGTCTGGAGATGCAACCTTATTAATTGACAGAGGAACTTCTTGTTTGTTTCTGGAGTTGCTTTCTGAGAGTATCGAGTTCTCTTCTGCTTTTATTATTTTGTGTTGATCTTAGCTCTACATATGGCATACCTAAGGCAGAATAACTAGGGTACTACTCCTTCTAATATATTCTTATACTAGCCAATTTCTTTGTGTAGTGCTGTCTTCAGCTTTACCTGAGCTCAATACAGACTTTGGACAAATACAGACAAGTAGGACTGTGACTCAACTAAAGCCAACTTTTAGGACATTGTGTTGGAATTCAAATTTTACTGAAAACTGGGGGGGGGGGAATTATAGTTAAGAAAACAGAAAAGAAATGAAACATTTGCCTTATCGCTTTTTTCTCAATAGCACAGTACTTCCAGGCTTCCAACCAAGGGAACATCTTTGTCACTTAAGATGCCTACTGTAAAAGGAAACAAAGTCACTTCTCTTACTCATACTTACCTAGGACTGTTAGTATGCAAGCCAACACAGCAACTAAAGCTTCTGTGCTGAGACCCATGGCATACATGAAAGCTCCGTATCGACAGTAGAAGGTGTTAACTTCGGTGTCACAGTCGCAGACAGTGATAGTGAGAGTATTTGTGCTTGTCAGTGGCGGTGTTCCATTATCCAGAATTAAGATTGGCAAGTAGAAAGAAAACTGCTCTTGCCTCCTGAAGCCACTTTTTGCTGTGAAAATTCCAGCTGTGTTATCTAGAAGACAAATTATTATGCATGATATGCATTTATCACTTTATAACAACAACAATAAAACTCCAGTGGAATCTGACCTATTTAAAAACAATGGTACTGTGCAAAGATACATATTAACAAAGTTAAAATAGTAAAACCAGGCACTGCATTTATTTTTGACATATATATTCCAGGGGCAATAATAAAATTTTACCTAGGAGCTCTGTTTTTAATGTTCAGAGCTAAGAAAAATCCCACCATGTTCAGTACCTGACACCTGCTCAGACTAACTAATTGGTTCTTAAAATGGTTCCATGTAACCAGTTGCTACCAATCCAGCAGTTCACAGATGAAATATAGACAGTTTACCAATCAAAAGGCTTCCAAAGTCTGTCTGGCAGGACACAGAGAAAGCAGGTGGCAAGGGAAAGAAGAGAAAGCAAGAAAAAACTCTACTAAAATAGACTTTTATTTCTTTCCCTGACACAAAAACTGGAGCTAGCTGAGCTCTTACTGTCTAAATTAGGGAAAAGTTGCTAGAGGCTCTCCCCGTGCTTTGTATTTAACTATTAGTGTTTAGAAATCAGTTCTGTATAAAACCCAGTAAGCAGCTTAAGTTCAGCTCCTGCTGCATATCGACTAATTCAAATCTGAAACTTAGCTTGCTGCAAAAAAAATTAGCCCATCTAAATCTGTGTATAATGGAAAGAAGAAACATTTGTAAATATTTACATGTCAGAATTTTTTATCATGGCAGGGTGAATTACTGCATGTGTGCATACATATACACAGGAAAAAAAAAAAAGTGTTTCTACCATTATCTGTATGATATATCTATCCAGTCTACTGAAGTTAACTACCACACATTTAAGTTCTTCTAGGTTTCTGTCATAATTCAGAAGATAACTCTGAGATAAAATGCTCCAGATCTGTAGACTCACTTTTGCTTTTGCCTAGGACTATCCCAATTCACCCAGCCATTTCTACAAAATGCAACAGGAAGGTAGAGACTGAGGGCTGACCCTACCGTGTTATAAAAGATGGGTTGGTTTTTTTTTCCCATCAATAGCCACCAAAAGGAACTGGATGTATTGCCTTGTGCGTGGCTCTGCTCAGACTTGTGCAGAATGAGCATAGGTGGGAAAGGCTCGCTGCCTGTACACAGTTTGACCTTAATGTAATAAGTTATCTCTTCCTGGCACTGAGTAAGAGGTTAATGAAGCTGGGAACTGAAACACATATTAAGACACTAACTTTAACTTTGGTGATATTGAGAGAAGTAGTTTGATGTTTAACATAGTCTGAACTTTCCAAAACTTATTTCCATTTATTTATTCACCTAGCCAGAACATTCAAATAATTAGTCAATAAAAGCAATGTGTACTTTAGTTTAGTGTGAAGAAACTCTTCTTTGTAGTCTCAGCTGACTGACTCTAAGCAGCCATCCTCCCTTCAATTCCATCAGATACTGCACTTACGTTTTCACCTCAGGCTGGTTTTGCTTGATATCCCTCTATATCCCTCTTTGTAAGAGTCTCAATCAATATCAGTTCTGAATAACATTAAAATACTTATAGAAGACATTTTATGATGTCATAATTAATCAGCATATTCCATTTAAAACATGTTAGGAACTAAGATTATATTTGTATTTATCTGTGTTTATAATTTTGGTCTTGTTGAAGCAATGAAGTAACAGACTTGTATTAAAAGCAATCTTCTCTTTCTGGCAATTTTGTTTCTTAGATAATAGATAATTTTAACAAGAAAGCTGGTATTTCCCACCATATCCTACATCAAGAGAATAAATGTTAAGGAATACCAGTGTATTTTTCATCTCAGCATTTTTTCTTTCCTTGAAATAAAACTGTTTTTTGCTGTTTATGTCACTTGGCTGAAAAAGGAAAATAAACTCTTTAGTATTACTGAATTATTGTTTTGAAATACACCTCATGACATGTTTGTATCTTATAGCAACAATTTCTATTTAAGTGGAAATTTTTATAAAATTGGTGATGTGAGGACCACTAGAAGCATGCATCTTTTATTAGGAAGGTCTTAAAGAGCTACATGAATGACACCACCTTGATTATCTTTGACAGTAAAACGTGAGTTGTTTGTGGCCTCCTGAGCCAATGAGAAGTAAAAATGGTGACCTTCTGCTGAGTCATCTTGATCCACTGCACTGATGCTTTGAATTAGCTGGAAACACAGATAAACAGAATTGTTTAAGAATAAAAGTATTTACTTGTCCTTTAAAACAATGAAAGGACATATCAAGTATGTTAAACTGTTGATGCTAGAGGTGTGATCTGTGATTATGTATTGCATGCATGTTATGCGGTCACAAATATACACCTCCCATACTCAAACAGTCTAATCGAGACTCATATTCTGCAAATACTCTGCTTTGATTTTTCATCTGTTTGAGAAAGGCAGACATTAAAATCTTGAGAAAATGTAAAAGATTTTTGGGATCAAAAGACAAGGAGTAAATGAAGTTTCCATAAGTGAAAAAAGTAATCATATATGTATCATGTTTTGTCCTTTTTTCTCAGGGTGAAAAGTATATCATTTTACATTTGAACAAATCCCTCTATACAAAATCCATTTCCTACCAGCTCACAAACACATTGACATCATTCAACTGATATACTGTAGCTTCAGTAAGTGATATATGGTGACAAGTTCATGTGCTGAACTGTTGATTCTGGATATTATAACAGATTGATTATGGAACTTCTTGGCTGCTTTTTCTCAGGAAAACAGAATAGCCTTCATTTACAAATATGTCAAAGTAGATAGTCATTGCAAGATAAAATAAAAAATTGTCATTCAAAAGAGGTTTTCATCTCTGTAAATAAACAAGCACACTACAGTTAACATAATTAGCAATATTTCTGCTTAAAAAGATCTTATATTTGTTACTTTTATCAGTAAATATGTAATGACCTGGGCATCAGCATATATTAGCAAGTGAGTATCCTCACAGACAGGAGGAAAGCAAACTGATGCAAGCCTACCAACTTTCAGAAAAGTGTCCGACTTGAACTTGGTCTTTATTTTATCAGTCATCTCATGCCTTGTAGATATTTGTACCCAAGAGACTTGAAGCCTCAACTTTCCCCAAACCAGATAGCATCTGAATGCTACAAGCAGTGCTTTAAAAGCAAAGCAGTAAGTCAATGGAAGTGACTACAGATTTCCATCTGTGCCTTTGAAAACTTTTTCCCGATTAAACCATTTTTCAAAGATCTAAGACTTCAGCACACATTCTTTTTCTTTTCAAGCAAGCTAAGTTGGATGAAATCATCACAGAAGAGTGCAAAATGTGGTTTATACCTCAGAAGCTTTGTATTCTTATCACTCTGCCCTTTTTATATGTGAAATTTATTTCAAATCTATATTTTCACTCTATGGAAAAATGAGGACACGAGATTTTTTTATTGCCATGTAATGAGAGGAGTGATTGTTCAGTGATATACCTGGTGACAATGTACAAAAGATGAAGCTTCCTGAGGATTTTTTTTCCCTTTCCTCAGAGCAAACAAAATAGCTAAGATGATGCAAATACAGGTATAGGCATGCAGGTCAAGAAATCAGTGAACAGCAGTAACTGATCCCTAATATTACCTGATCCCTAATATTACCTGATAATAAATCATAGACTTCATTTTTATAAGGGAGTATAGTTCTCAGAATACAATCAATATGAACAGCAATAGAGAACATTGCTAGTAAAATCTCCATGGCTGCAGCTGACGAAAAGCTTTGTATGGATGTATGTCTCTCCGTACAATTCAGGGTCTATCAAGCTAGGCTGAATATGCAGAGTAATATAGTAATCTACAAAGACATCTTAACCACATCTAATTTTTTTTTTATTTTTTATTTTTTAGTTTAGTTACCTGGCAGAGAAGAATTACCTACTTACCTACCAAAAATCCAAAAAGCATTAATTATACATGCAATTTTTATACTTCCAGTTTTCATTCTGATTAATAGTTATTTAACCATGTATTAGCAATGGCTTTGGAAAGTATATTTGTAGGAGTCTATCATGTTTGAAAATCATAAAATTAATGCAGTTGTGAATTAGATACTGTTTTGGCATTTCATTATTAACTTTCGTTACTTTACCTACAGAATGTATTTGCCCATATAAATTTTATCTATATCTCATCCTACCAATATAATTCTGAGGACTATGTGTCTAGCTGAAAAAAAACCCCCACCTTCCCTTGTTTTGATCTGTACTGTGCTCTTCTACACAAACCTAAAACACCTATGGTTATTCTAGGCATATTCACATGCCTTTAAGGATTCACCTTAGAAGCAGGGGAATATTTGGAACATAAGGACAGGACAAATCCTTATTGTTTATTTCTTACTGTATCACTTCCACTAAGATTCAGCAAAACCCAGATGAATCTATAAAATATTCAGAGAACAATAGGCAGCCCTGATTTTGCTGACTCTAAAGGAAAAATCACCCAGAGAGAAGGAAACTTTCTTTTTTTCTGGTTTCCTGGGCTTTTGTACCTCTAACCTAAGAGATTCTAGCCTTTCACCAGGGAAACTGGCATCACAGACTGAAAAACTGCACCTACTGTTTGTGAGTCAAGGTTTAAAAACCCCTACATTTTAGTGTGTAAACAAAGAAAATAGAGTGAATGATGTGTTGCTTCTGCGAGGTTATAACAGTTGTTGTACTGACTAGGCTGAAATTTAATTGCTGTAAAATTTCTTATTTCAAGTCTCATTAGTCTAGAAGCTTTAATAATCCAGCACCATTTGAAAATGTACATTTCTTTAACACTGACATTAATCCACTTGATTTTTCTTGAAAAACTGTTTTAAGTTTATGGTGGGTGGGCCTCACTTACTGTTTCTTTCCAAACTGACTGAGACCACTGCTGGGAACAACAGGGGCTCCTTTGATCAAAGGTCACAAAAAGATGTGGCCTGCTATACTCAACTTCCCCATCATATGATTAGTGGGCACTTTCAACTAATAAATATCATCAGTGGGGGAGTCTAAGATGTTGGTAACAGCTCTGATCTCCCATTGATTAATTATTTTGTATAGAAGGGAATTTTTGTAAACCATTCTGGACTGAATGTCTAGCTGAGTGTTGTTTGTTTTGCAAATAACAAGTTATGGAGTACGGAGTAGTTGACTGCCTGGTAGTCTTGATGAAAAATAATTGAAAATTTATTTCCTCAACCCCAGGTAGTCTCACAGAATTGGAATTATGGAGATGTCCAGAAGGAAGAAGAAAGCTTCTCTGTTACAGTCCTGTCTGCTTCTAAGGGCTTTCTCACTACCAAGTTCAGCTTAAAGCATAGACTGTCCATCTGAACAGCCATCAGTACCATTAATCTTGATGCTAGAGTACTCTGAGCGTATAATTTGGAGTCCTTTGTGTGTGGTCCCATACCCAACTATAGTCTTACCATTCCCATTAGACAGATTGGAAGGAAGTAGGAACAGATTTGCCACCTTTCCCTTTCTGCTTTAGTTTCTTTTGTTTTGTTTTCCACCCAATATCCTTCAGTAGGAGCTCTGCTGTGTTTTATAGGATGTAAGAGATCTGATCACCCACCTGTTTTGGGAGTACAGAACTGGATTTGTTCAAATTGACAGAGGTCTTATAAGTAGTATGATTTTTCTCATTGCTTAATAACGTTTGATGGCCATCAGAGTTTAGTGCAGGTAAAAGATTAAAATGTTCATTACTATAGTCAATAGTAATGCATTTTCCAGGTAGAACCTTCTACCTCAAGATGAAAGTTCTCCTTTTGACTGCTTCTATTTCTCTTTTGAAAAGCAAATTAGTACAATATTGATCTGATTTCTCTGGGTCTACTGTAAGATGTTTCTGCTCAGTTATAAATAAAATGGTGTACATTTCAGCAAAGGAATAATGATTATAAAGCTTATGCCATGAGCTTTGTATATGCTGATAAACTCTTCCTACCTGCTCCATTCTGCTATGAGATAATGTTGCTGAATCACGGTCCATATAAAACAGAAAAAGGAATTTTCTATGGGCCACTGTATCCACTGTTTCAAAATGTTGCAAGTTACACTCAGTGCATCTGCAGGTGTAGCTTAGTGTAAGAGCCTGCTAGAATATATGGTGTTTTCACAGCTTCACCGTGTTTTTATACTCTAAGGGATGCCCTTATTGTTTTTTTTTTCTTTTTAACTTTTAATTTTCTTATCACTACTGCTCAGATCCTTTTTGTAAATAATGAAGAGAACATAGCAAGGTGAAATGATAAACATTGGCTTACTAACCTATCACTTTCACTTCTCTGCTATCAAAAATCATTTTATATCATGTTTTGTTAGAAAAGATCTGTTTTAGCAAACTGCTCATTGTTAAAATTAATCGTATAGCCCTAGAATATAGTTAAAGATTCCCCATTTCTTCTGTCAACATTTCATTATATAGAGAAGTAATATCAAATGAGTACGCTTCACTTTCACTGAAACGGATGATTATTTTACTAAGTACTGAGTAAATAAATTTAGTTTTTTTCTTATCTCTAACTCAAAGTGCTCTGCATACATAGTCACTTCTCTAGATCTAATAAAAAATACTAAGCAAACTGCAACATCAAAGTCATTTCATAAGTCCCCAAATCACAGGAACTCAGAATTGCCAGAATAAATATGTGTCAGAGAAGACAGCATTAATTCACAGTGTAGGTATATCCAGTGCAGCTTGTCTTCAGCTGAAATCCGTTTCCTGCATGGTACGAAGAAAGACCAATATCCACAAAAAGGACAGAAATTACCATGCATAAAAATAGATACATTCTGGATGGTCAGCTTGCTTACATGTGATGTAAGACATTTGATATAGCTTACTTCAAACTTTCAAGCTTCAGTTTCAAGCTGAGTTAATTTATTAATGCCTTGGGAATTAAGTTTTCTGGGTCAAATCTATTCTTGCTGGGATGTCTCTAGTGTTACCTTGGGACAGATTTGGTCCATTTTGTGTCCTGATTATTTTTATAGAATACTGCCTCTAGAATTCAAGTTTGTAGTTAATGTACACACACATAAAGGGTAACTTTAAAGAATTAATACCACACTGTTGTCATCATTTACCCTGTCTACATACAGTTATAAAGTCAAAAGATCCAATCAAAAGGGAATCCTGGTTTTGGATGTCTTATTAATATTGTTCTGTTTGATCTGATACTAGCTATAGCTGTAGTAGGAAAAAAGTCTTTTTTACACAGCAGCTTTCATGTTCAAGTTATTTTGAAAATAATGTATTTAATACTGGTGGTGCAGTGAAAGTGGTTTTTCAATGTGCAAAAGAAAACTTTAGTTGTGGTTAGCATATAGTTGACGGATTATAGGACAGTACAGAACTATAACATGAAATGGATAGTGAAACATCCATTCAAAATGTCTAATAAAAATAATGAATGGATTTAGAATGATGTCAAAAAACACCTATCTTCTTTACTTCCATTTTTATTGTTAAATTTTCAATTATAGTCCCACAGACCGAAATGTAATCCTTTTGTTTGAATGTCTTTCAGAGGCTAAGTTAAACATGTCTGTAACTCTCACAAAACCACTATACAGGAACATGAAGGTCAACACTCATTGAATAAAAGCAGACAAATAACTTTTTATAATCTTCCAGAAAATCCAAAACTTCAAAACAAGCATTCTTCTCTAGATTGAAGCTACCATTAACTGCCTCTGAGTTTGGATAATTAGGACAGTTATTCGTTTTATTCATGATGTGTTTCACGTTCTTTATCATAGCCTAGTATATTCTAAGGCTATGTAAAAATAACATTATTTGCCACATGACTCTATGTTGTTTTTATTGTAAACCAGGCAGACATCAAGAAAAAGTAATCCAAATAAGATAATTTATTTTTGACAGTATCTTTCCCTCTGCAGTGCTTCTCCTTCCTTTCCCCCAAACGCTATAAGCTGGGGGATGCAAATATATTTTGGAGTATCCCATGAAAGTAGACACAACTCAGCTGAGATCAAGGAAGCAAGTGAATTCCAGAGGTGCAGAACGTCACTGAGAATATCTCTCTGCATATCATTTCCAGCTAGATGGATAGAGATAGCCTACTTTAGAAATTGAAATGTGATAGGATACCTATACAAGCCTTGATCTCAACTCACAACATGTGAGTAGATTCCTGAGCTGTTTGGCATTGATTGCAGAAATATAGCTAAAACCAAAAGTATGTAATGTCCTGATTAAGCCCTTCAACTACTTAAACTGATTCTTCTGAAATGTAAATTGTGTTATTCAGTGGACAACCAGGGCATCTATAAAATAACTTTTGAAATTTTTGGCTTCTTGCTGATGAAAATAAAGAACCTTTTTCTTCTGTGAGTAAAAAGTAAAAAAAAAAAAAAAGAATAATAACATTGAAGGAGATACACCAGCTATCAATTCTGTTTTAAATCATAAACATTGAATAAAATATCATAAACTTTGACTGTGATAATTATGCACTTTAGTAGCAACTTCCTGTTGTTCTTCCTAAGATCATTTGTTAATGAGATTATTTAACATTACTGTTGTGGTCTCCAAAGGCTAAACTAAAGATGCCTGTGACTCTCAAAAACCTATAGCAATGAAAAAAGAAAAAACAAAAAAGAAAACAATAAAATCTAGAATAACATTTTGTCTGTCTGTAAAGTGGGAAAAATATCCTGCTCATTCCTCATCCAGGTATTACAATGTTGAACAGGAATAATTCTGTATCTTATGTTCAAAGAGTTTATCATCGTATTACTACTCTTATTTACAGTGCCATTTTCTCCAGTGATTCTCAAAATACTTTATATATATATATACACACACACACATTTAATTTGTTATTTGAAAGTAGCTATTAATGGGCTAGCATACAGATGTTATTTATCAGTAAGCAGCTATGGAATAATAAAAATGTTAGGAAATAAATCACCAGGGTTTTTATATTGTAGGCAAATCCAAAACATGGATTAAAAATGTCCATTTTATAAGCTTCCATATTTAATTCATGGTGTCTTGAAGACAAGGAACATGAAGTGGCATTTGATTTAATGTCTGTACTTTGATCTGTCAATGAATTACCCGAAGACGAAAAGAAATGGCTTGCTCCAAGTCCCTCTGAACCAGAGGTAGCCTTTGCAGAGTGGAAAATTACCAAATGCAGAACAAACAAACCAACTGCTGATAGAGAAATAGATAAATGGATGCAAAAAACTATAAAGAAATTACTTTTGCTACAAAGAAAGCTTTATTTAACGGCAGACTAATCAAGGTCAAAGTAAACCAAGCTGGTGTAAAAAGAAAAGCTCTGTGATTCAGAAATCAAAACATAGCAAAACGTTTGAATGGAACCATCACAGATATCCCAAAGGTCTCTTTTGTACATCCAAAGAATGCTTTAAAGTGGTGAAAAAACATATAGATTTTTCTGTGTATAGCTTTTTGTTGTTGCCTTTTTTTTGCTCATTTTTTACTTTTTTTTTTTTTTTAACTTTGAATATCCTTTTTTTCTTTTTGCAGTTTTCTTTTAGACTCCTGTGTGGAGCCTGACAGCATGCTTATTGCACAGTTTGGAGCTTAGTCTGTAGAACCGGATCACTTAAAAAAATGTGAAGCTGTAGAGGAAAGTGGGTGGAGGAAAATGGAGAGTCAGCAGTGCACCTGGGGGGTTAGGGCAGCTGACTGATGTGACCCCATTTGCCTGGGGAGGGAGTAGGAAATGAAAAAAACCCTCCAGGGAAGGACGCTTAATATGACAATCCCATAAGCTGCCAGCTAGGGAAAGTGTTGCAAGGGCTGTGACTTAAATATCTTCAGATTTCCATTGAACTAGAGAGGGTTTGAATTCAGTTCACAATAAATGATTTCTAACCAAAGAACACAGTGAATCTGGTTTGAATCTGGTCTAAGTCTGGTTCTTCCAGACTACATTATGCTGTTGCTGTAAATACCAAGCCGAGTTTTAACTTCTGTGACATGAACATGAATCAAATCCGTGTTTTATACTGTTCGTTTTTTTCAGAAGTTTCTGTCCGTATTTCTCTATTACCTGTTTTGGTAGACAAACAACGAGATGTATCAATTTTGTTTTAAAGGGGGAAAAATACACATCAGTCTTCTGAAATCTAAGTTTCAAAATATACATATATCAACAGAACTAATTTTGGAAATAGACAAAATACAGCCTGTACTCACAGTACTGAAATAATCAATAATAAAAGAAATAATAACATCTCAGACTAACTCTTCATTGTAATGAGAAAACTGACGGCTAACTCCTTCACACTTACCTGGCCAGAAACTGCATTTTCACAGACAAATGTTTCGTAATATTTAGGGAATTCTGGTGCATGATCATTAACATTGAGAACTTGGATATACACATTTGCTTCTGAAATTTTTTCAGGATTTCCTAATGGTTAATAAAAGACAGAAATAAAAAAATTATAATCCTCTACATATTTTAAACTAATGCAGACATTAGAAAATTTTATTTATTTTCTGCAGAGAAGAAAATAGTCACTGAGACCTACAGACACATTTTATACTAAATCTTTTTAATGACTTCAAATATATCCTATACATATAAAAAAGGTAATTTTCTTTCTTTGCTGGGGTTCTGTTTACAAAAGGTGGTGGGCTTCTGTTTTTTGTTTTTGTCTTTTCACCAATCCATCATGTTAAATTATGATGGTATATCTTGAAATATATAAGGATATTTCATATAAAATTTTGAATTTGTTCACTCTTTTATTTACCAACTCAGAAACTGATTTAAATGTAAAAAATAAAATGTGATCTGGAGAAATTAAATGAGGTTTTGTTCACGCAGAACAATTTAGTGTACTAGTCATGTATAAAAGTATGTAGAAGGAGAGTGTCTGCTCCTCTAAGAGTATCTGGTCAAGGACCTTATTCAATGCAACAAGAGTTAATAAGAAAAGGAGGAAGCCATGAACAAGAACATACAGGGACACAAACCTGAGGGACAAATTATAAGGGAGGGGGTGATGAGAACCAACCTGGTCAGACACACTAATTGATTGGGGGCACGTGAGAGTGTGAGAAAGTTTATTCCTGTGAGGTTATCAGATCGGGGACCTTGTCAATTGGGAAACCGAGGGGAAAAAAGGTGAAAACAGAAACAAAATGTACCAAGACACAGACCTGACAAAACAAACACAGAGACAATGACAAGAAACAAACCTCATTATAATTGATGGGCTATCTAGAAACCACAGGGTAACAGTTCCAGGTAGATCAACCTGGACTTTGCAACTGATAAGACTGTAAACCAGAGGGACTCCAGACCTGGAGGGGCACAGAAACCAATGGAGCTGTACAGACCCATGGGGGACGTGCAGGGAGGAACAAAGAGGGGACAGACAGAAAGGGGTATGAAAGGGACCGGTTGCGTGTCAAACAGGGCCAGTCAGTAAGCTTGTCTGGCTGAGCCCTGCACCGGATCACCAGTCAGTGTCATCATCTTATATCTTATTATCAAATCTTTTCTTAGCTACCTCTCTGCATAAAAGCTCTCTATAATTGCATGTGTATGTGTGCTGCAGGGACTAAGTACCAGCTACTGGTGAGACCTGCATAGGTATGAGTGAAAATTGGTGCCAGCTACTGGAGTGAGTGGGGGGTGCCGGGGACGAGTGTCTGTATCTTCTCCAAACTGGGTGTGTGGGGGGTGTGTGGGTGTTTTCGCTAGCAAACTTATCCTGGACTCAACAGTGAGTAAGGGGTCCTTGGATCCAGGCCAGGTGTTCAGGGCAGTCCATGTTGGTGTGCTCAGGGGGGACTTGTGAATGGGGGGTGCATGACGGACGAGTGTGTGAGAACTGCGGGTTTGTCAGTGAGTATCAAGAATGGACTAGCTGGTGAGTTGGGGACCCATGAAGCAGATAAGAAGACCTGGGATCTGGGCAGGGGTGCCAGGCAGACAGAGGGTCCGTGCTGGTACTGAAGGGATCCGTGAGTGCATGTGTGCTTGTGAACCTGGAGAGTGTCGCGCGTGTGTGTGTGCCTGCACCAGTGACCTTCGTCCTCTGCAGCTGAAGAGGAGGAGGGGACTTGGCTGTCTGTCCTGTGGTTTATGTGAGTCCTGTACGTAGATGCTGCTGAAGGCAGTGCCTTGTCTGTGGCAGTCTGCATGACCGGCCGTGTCAGTGTCCTCTGTGTCTGTGTGTGTGTCTCCAGGACGTGCTCAGCTTTATTACAGGTTGAGCCTGCAAACAGGAAAGTGTCAGCCACATCCCTGAGCCTGGGCAGAGGCCTCGGGTGCCCAGGCACCGGGCTGGGCTCTAGCAGCCGGGCAGGAGGGTCCTGGACCAGAGCAGCTGCAGGAGGCAGCTGCACTTTCTTACATCACTTAACATCATGGATACCACAATGATTGGTCACAATCCTGTAAGAAATTCTGTTACTTTTCCTCTTCTTTAGTATTTTGAAATTGAAGTTTTGGGAGAAAATTTCACCAACATTCACAAGCTTTAAAAATATTTCTGCCACTGCTAGACATGGAGAAGTTGCAGTGGACACTGATACCCAACCCTAGCCAAGGCAGAAAGCTGAAACTTTGAATTTGGAACAACAGAGCTGTTCTATCCACTGGTCTCCAAACACATAGTTGCAAAGAAGTCTGATTTTGCCCAGGCATGTCTAAGGCATTACCGCTGACAGACTTCATAGACTGAGCTTATAGTTTTGTTCCAAGTATTATTTGTACAACAGGTTTAATTCTTAGGCATTTTGTACTCACAGAAGCTGTACTGTTTCTCTTATACAAGTATACTTTATTACTGTATGTATCTAATGCCACGTTATTACTGTGGCTTTAGATATAAAAGCTTTGTCAGTATGGTTTATTCCCGTATGAAAAGGAAAATAAACTCTGCTAATATAAGGCATGTTTTTCCTGCATTTATTGCATTCACACAAAGTTATATTGCTATAACTACCTCAGACAAGGAAAAGCCAGACCTAACTATACTGGTTTCATTGTACAAAAGTTGTGTGTAGGCTAGGCTGAAAAAGCTATTTGTTTATGTAATAAAAATGTTTATAAATATGTTGCCTGAAACCAAGGGAAGGAAGATCTGCAGGTACAGCATTCTCCTGAAGAAACTGGCTGCTCGTGGTTTGAACGGGTGTACTCTTCGCTGGGTAAAAAACTGGCTGGACGGCCGGGCCCAGAGAGTTGTGGTGAACGGAGTTCAATCCAGTTGGCGGCCGGTCACAAGTGGTGTTCCCCAGGGCTCAGTATTAGGGCCAGTTTTGTTTAATATCTTTATCAATGATCTGGACGAGGGGATCGAGTGCACCCTCAGTAAGTTTGCAGACGACACCAAATTGGGCAGGAGTGTTGATCTGCTCGAGGGTAGGAAGGCTCTGCAGAAGGACCTGGACAGGCTGGATCGATGGGCCGAGGCCAACTGCATGAGGTTCAACAAGGCCAAGTGCCGGGTCCTGCCCTTTGGCCACAACAACCCCATGCAGCGCTACAGGCTTGGGGAAGAGTGGCTGGAAAGCTGCCTGTCGGAAAAGGACCTGGGGGTGCTGATTGACAGCCGGTTGAACATGAGCTGGCAGTGTGCCCAGGTGGCCAAGAAGGTCAATGGCATCCTGGCCTGTATCAGAACTAGTGTGGCCAGCAGGAGTAGGGAAGTGATCATGCCCCTGTACTCGGCACTGGTGAGGCCGCACCTCGAATACTGTGTTCAGTTTTGGGCCCCTCACTACAAGAAGGATGTTGAGATGTTGGAGCGCGTCCAGAGAAGGGCAACGAAGCTGTTGAGGGGCCTGGAGAACAAATCTTATGAGGAGCGGCTGAGGGAGCTGGGGTTGTTTAGCCTGGAGAAAAGGAGGCTGAGGGGAGACCTCATCGCTCTCTACAACTACCTGAAAGGAGGTTGTAGCGAGACGGGTGTCGGTCTCTTCTCCCAAGTAACTAGTGATAGGATGAGAGGAAATGGCCTCAAGTTGCACTAGGGGAGGTTTTGAAAGGATATTAGGAAAAATTTCTTCACTGAAATGGTTGTCAAGCATTGGAAAGTGTTGCCCAGGGACGTGGTTGAGTCACCATCCCTGGAGGTATTTAAAAGACCCATAGTTATGGTGCTTAGGGACATGGTTTATTGGTGGATTTGGCAGTGTTAGGTTAATGGTTGGACTCGATGAACTTAAAGGTCTTTTCCAACCCAAATGATTCTATGATTCTATACTGAATACCTCTTGGAAGTCCTCCACTTATCAGCACATCGAATCCTCACTTACATGGCATAGCTCTGAGAAATGTCTGCCTTCCCCACAATTTAATTTATTACTTTAGTAGGCAAGAAGTTTCACTGCAACAGTAACGTTCACATTAACTTGGTTGTGTTGTTGGGTAAGGACCATAATGAAGACATTTTTCCAGTGAATAAAATAATCTTAAGACATTCCAGGAATACTAAGTTTCTATCAGCCTAAATATCTATCAGTATCAATCTGCTCTGTCTAAACCAGAAGTATGTCACTCACAAGAATATTCGTTATAGTTAAAATATGCTTCATGATGGGTGCTCGAGTCAGTGCTTCTGACCTGTTCAGAAGTCCTTAAGGCATTTTCTTCAATTAGTCAAATGGACCTTTAAGAGAAAAACAAAATGTACTCCTTTCTGCCTCACTTCAAACTGTATGGGTTTGGTTGGTTCTTACATTGCTTTTTTTAATGTATAATTCAGTAGTTGCTTGGAGCAAACATTTGTTTTCTTGGATCTTATGGAATCTGTGCTGATAGCTTTGAGTCTTTTGCCAAAGGAAATGGCAGCAAAAGCAACTACCACAGAGATAAAGAGCTAGATACTCAGCAGTTTCACATTGCTGTTCCTCCTGTGAAATCATCAGAGCTGTGCTAATTTACTAAAGCTTATGATCTGTCAGAGTCATTTCAAAAATACTTCTTTGTGGGATGACATTTATCTTGTTGAATCCCAACATCCATAATAATACAATAGGCAATGAAACAGTGCTCGGCTTATTTTTTAAATAAACATAAAAAAGTAGAAGACATCCCTTTTAGAAATAATACCGAGAGTATAGGACTTACTTAACCTCTTCTACTTAAGTCAGAATTGGCTGTGCAGGGCAGAGATTTGGCTGGATTAGTATTAAAAGGAAAACTTTGTAACACTTCTTAGGAGGCAGGGAATACCTTTGGTGGCTTCAGTCATATACAAAGTGGCATGGGAAGGACCCAGCTACCTTGGCCTATTCCTAACTTGCTTGTTCATAAGCTTCATGGATACTATATTGGCTTTAAAGCCTACCCTTTGCTTGCACAAATACTTAGATAGCACCTTTAAGTCTAGAGCTGACATTCACATCTCTTTTCTTTCACCAAATAACCCTTCTTTTTTTATTGATTTTTGGTAACAGTCTTGTTTCTACTTCCTTACTATATTTGGGTTGTTGTGTTGTGTTTGTTTTGTGGGGTTTTTTTTCTTCAGTATATGGTTAAATGACAAGGAAGAACATTTCTCCCATTGCTGTTGGAAGATAACAGTATGGAGGTTTTTAACTTTTCTGAAATCACAGGTGTTTTGTATTGGGAGGGAGCAACATGTTAAAAAAACACTCTTAGAATCAGTGTCTGGTAAATATTTGATGAAGATTTTGGGTGAAGCAAAGTGAATCCTTTGATTGCAATTGGAGAAGGTGATAGGCAACACTTATTTTTTCTTTTATCCCTTACATGGGAAAACAGTTGTCAGAATTTGAAAACAGTTATTGTATTCATATCTTACATTAAGCTAAAGATCTTTCAATGAGTGGAAGATTTCTTTGCCATAATCTCCATGAGGGAGATCAGAACTTGAAAAACAAGATCTGAGAGAACAGGATATCAAGTTCAATAGACTGGCTCACTGTGAAGAATGAAATTGATGTTTAATTACTAGGGACCAAAATTAGTAACTTACTTATTTTGGAGCTGTGTGAAAAGAAAAGCAGTGACCATCTCTAGAGACAAAATAGAACTCAGTACTTGCAGGGGACTAAAGAAAGCTTGGCATTGTCATCAGCCAGTAAAAGAAAACTTGCAGGAATACTACTACTAATAGTAATAATAAAAATAATAGTTTTTGTTATAATTATAATTTAGGCTAAAGCAAATTTCTTTACTTCCTAAAGGAAATGGACACAATTTTTTTTTTTAAAGGACTAATCTAAAAATTTAGAAGTCTGTCAACAAAAGTATATATGACCAAAGTGGGGTGACAATTAAATATTTAATTAATAATATGATCCATGACTGAAACCTTCAAAGAGCTCTAAGTTCTGTAGTCATGTAGTAGGTCTGGAACCCACTATGAAAAGACATCTGCAAGACCAGTGGGAAAATGACTGTTGTCTCTTGTGGGTAAGTTTGCTTATGACTGGTAGTACACTTTTCTAATGGGTGTATAGAGAAATGAGGATCAAAGTAAGCTCAAGCCAGTTGCTGTCTTTGGGAATGTTTGTTGGTCATCTATAGTTCAATAGAGAGAAAGCTGGAGCAGATATTCCTCTTCTAAATTAATTCATTGTCAGTCAATCTTCATCTGACTCAGTAAATCAGTGCTAAGTAAAGCTGATGACTTAAGGATTTCTTGCTCTCATGCACGGTTAGAATGTTGTTTATGCTTCAGCCTTGTACTAGGTGGAAGCTGATTACAACCAAGTAAAAACTGATCAAAAGAAATATGATTTCTCTTGAGCTAGACCCATTTTAGGCATAAAGTAAAATAAGACTCAACAGATTGCAGGTTCCGACTGCTTGCATTTAAGGTCCAACAAATTATATCTACTTCTGACTATCTTTAAATCACGCTGTCTCAATGGCATGAGGATAGGATGATCCACACAAGTCTGCAAGAACAGAGGCAAGCTCCTCTTACTAATCCCTGTCATTGCAATGGAGGCAAAAGGCTTGTGTCCCTTATGAATGCCAGGACCTCAATAGGCCCCTAGGGAGGTTGTTGTTGTAATGCAGTTTCAATATCTGTCTCAACTGCAATGAATATCTTGTGTGGATGAACGCTAATGGCATTTTGATTTGGCTTCAGTGGAGCCACAATGTCATCCACCAAATGTCTCATATATGCAGCGTATGTTATGACTATATTTCAAGGAATAAAATGCTACTAGTTCATAACACAAATCATTTCAGGTATGCCCAGACCAAGGTGACCTAACTTCAATGCTTTTGAATATAGTGTTATAGACAGTGACCTTATCATCATTAAAGAAATAAAGAATAAGGATATGAAGATAATGAGCACTCGGTTTCTCTACAATAACTTTCATTACTGTGAAAGACTCGCTTTCTTTTGCTGCAGGAGACACTTATTCATTTGTAACATTTGGTTCTTTCCTATTTTATTGTTTAACTAAACAGAAAAGTCCAGACCAAAGTCATCCTGCTGTGTTTCTATAGTGCCATTCAAGACATGACAAAAATATGCCAGAGATCAATTTCACTAACATCTGCTGGCTGCCCAACAACATGAGAAGTAAAATACATTCATGCTTCAAAACTCACAGAGAAGCTGAAAAGGAAGAAAATACTATCAATTCCCAAACACAAAATAAAGACTTCAATAAGAACGGCTACTGACTATCTTATATTAAACTTCTAGCAGTAGTATTCTGCATATATAGAGGGAATGCTCCCTTTTGGGAACAGTGCAATTTATGACTATGTGTTTAAAGTAGTCTTTGCAATAAATAGCATTTAACTGAGATTCAGGATTAAAAAAAAACATACTAAAGTATTTGGCAAAACCTGCCTGATTTATTGTTTGGACTCTAGTTTCATATGTTTTTTCTCCTTCCTGAGAATGGATGTGATTAGTTTTTAAATAATATCCCAATAATCTTGTTAAACTGTCTTATAAATCAGTAGCTTTTAGTTCTCTGGAGCATTGTCCCAGCGTTAGGGCAAACAGATCACCAAAAGCACAAACAGAGGCAATTTGCATTTGACTTTCAAACCAAACTGACAGGTGAAAACTATATAAAGGATGCTTCACAGATTTAATTGTCACTGAAGAGAAGTCTAGCTGATTTAGGCCTTACATTCACAATTAATGAGCCACAGGTTTCTTACTGGTGTTAAATTACACCCTGGTTAATTTCACACTAGTCAAAAATCTGGTGTGAAATTAACCAGGGTCTAATTTAACATCAGATCTTGCACTGCAGGAGCAATTCATATGCTTCAGTGTAACTTGAAAGTGTTACAGTCTCAATCCTACTATAATTTCCTTTCTTTTTTTATAAGGTCATCTTTTATGAAAGAGCACAGGACCTTGGAGCTCAAATACATTCCGCTTCTATTTAACTAATCATTTTAATAATGCTCCTTAATGTAGCAAGCAACAGTAATATAATGAGAAAGAAGCATGTATTCTCCACTTAAAAGAAGGCATATTCGGAGGATAATTACTGTTCGCAGTATATAAAACACAACGTTCCTTAAATTTCTTACTCACTTGTTTCTGTGGCTGTAACAGTTATGTTGTGCCAAGAAGCTATCTCTCTGTCCAGAGGTTTAGTTGTAATGATTGTTCCATTGTGTTCATTGATGCTGAACAATCTCTTTAAATGCATGCCGCGGACAATAGAGTACCTGCACCAAAAAAGTAAAGAGGTTCCCTAATACTGAAATGTTCCACCAGAAGCAAGGACATAGAAAGCTATTGTCAGTTTAGAAAACAGAGCTGTGCATATATACATATAAATGTGTGCTGCAGCAACTCAGAAATCATGAAAAATGTACACTTATAAACATTTAAAATTCACTGCTGTCAAGATCAAAGCTCTTCTTTTTATAAAACTAAATATATCTCCATTCTATATTAATGTGAACTGAATCTGAAATGCATTATTCATTCTTACTTCTAAGTCAGGCTCACAGCAGGTGAATGACTTCGTTGAAAAGAAACAGCAAAAGTGCCACTTGTGAAATGAATAACGGTAACAGCTAAGTGGAGGTATAATGGTAACTCTATTCTATCATTGCTGACATGCTCTGATGCCAAGGGAACGGGCATTATAAAGAAAGACAGACAGCTATCTGCAAAGAGGTGTCACCTAGGTAGGGTACAAAATCCTAATGCAGGAGATGACTGCAAATGAGTCCAGTGTTCCTGAGTCTTCAGTTAAAAGGCTCTGGACGCTATGTCCGTATGCAGACATGCACATGCACACGTACATACATACATACCATTCAATTTGTTAAAGTCTAACCACTGGTCACAGGCCAGAGATGGACTGAAAAAGACACCAAAGATATTGGTTCAAATGGAAGAGATATTTACAAATATTTTTCACGACATATAAAAAAACCCATATGTCAGAGCTCCTAGTAGAGTCTATTTCATGGAAATAAAACCTGTTTGAAGAGTTGAAAGGTTCTTACCATTCCAGTTTGGAATTCCCACATGCAATTATTCCCTCTTTTATTGTACCTTTAATTGAGCTTGACAAAGTCTTTCTGTCTCCTGTTGGCACTTAGGACTCCAGCTCAGATTATGTGCCAGCGGTTGGATGACTCTGTAACTTGTTATTTATAGTTACATTTTGTCTGTTTTGAAAATCAGTAAATGATAAATCAAGGAACCAGCACAACACAGTCAGTGAAAATTCTTATCATTTGAGCCAAAGATGTGACATTTATAAACCTCTATTTTAGGGATTTACAATTTTTTTTTTTTTTTTTTTTTTGGTGTTTGTGTGTGTGTATGTGTGAGTATTCCTCATCCTCTGCACCCAAAGCTTGTTTAGGCTTTTCTGACATTGGTGTTTTGTTTGCGGGTTTTTAGGCAATCTGATTATTGATAGATAATTTTCAGAAAGTCTATGTTGGATACCTTTTAGTTATTTTTTATTATTTATGTAGTGAGGTTTTGTTGTATGTCTTTGTTTATTTTGTTTATTTGAAAACTGGGGTCCACAATGCAACACAGCTGGTTTTCTATATTATAAGCAACTGATGTCATTTATGATAGCAAAGGTTTCAAAATTAGATTCATATGCATGGCACTTAGCCCAATAAACATATCTTTACATTAGAAGTGACTTGCTCTATTTTAAAAAAACTCAGTGATGCAATGTATGTGTCACTGTTTTGGGACTGTGCAGACACATTCACTTTGTAGCAAGTTCCATCAAAATATTTCAAACTAAGAAGCCATAGATATGCACTGTGTTTCAATGTTTCACAGGAGATGCTGCAGTCATCTAAATAAACCACAAAACAAACCCTTTTTTTTTGAAAAAAAAAAAAAACATGTGTATTTTTATTTATTCTTAATTAATTTAACTTATGACTAGCTTACTAAATAACAGTAAATGAATGCAAAATCGTAGCAAATGGCCTTGCATTGGCTAAACCTCTGAAGTCTTAACTATAGGTAGCTATATATATATATTTCTGCTATTAGAAATCTGCTAAATTAATATACACACCATAAGCTATTTTGTGTCTCATCCATTTGTCCCTGTATCCTAGATTGTCCAAACTGCACAGTACACAGTGACATCAAGTAACTCAAGAAGCTATTTTAATTGTAACCCCCCTGTTAAAGATGAATTACCTGTTTTCTCCCTTACGAAACAGCAAAATTATTTTGCAAAATTAAAAGTCTGGGACACTTTTTTTTATATAATATCTCTGTGGGGCAATTGTGGTAGATGTAGGGAACTTGTATTTGGACATGCTGAGCTGACCATATGCCAGTGGAGCTGTTCTGTGTCTCCCTCCGAGCAGTAAGTCCATCCTTCCATATCTCCAGAAGTTATTGGGAACAGACTGGAACACCTCCAGGCACTTACTTACAGGTTTGGCTGCAGTACCCTAGCTCTGCTGTTATGCACAGCCTCTTCCAGGCTACTCTTTAAAATATTACCCCATCTCAAAGTGATTGCAAAGATGCACAAACAAAAGTCATTTATTTAGATTTTAGGCTAGGGGGCAGGATTTAACCTAGTGTACTGGTTCTGGCTGGGATAGAGTTAATTTTCTTCCTAGTAGCTGGTACAGTGCTGTGGTTTGGATTTAGGATGAGAATAATGTTGGTAACACACTGATGTTTTCGCTACTGCTGAGCAGTGCCTACATAGAGTCAATGCCTTTTCTGTTTCTCACACTGCCCCACCAGCGAGTAGGCTGGGGGTGCACAAGAAGTTGGAAGGGGACACAGCTGACCCCAGCTGATCAAAGAGATACTCCATACCAGATGACGTTGTGCTCAGCAGTAAAACTGGGAGGGGTGGAGGTTGGCCAGGGCTGCCATTGGTCAAGGACTGGTTGGGTATTGGCCAGCTGGTGGTGAGCAATTTTTTGGGTTTTTTTTGCATCACTTGTTTTTCTTGGGGTTTAGGTGTAGATTTTTTTTCCCCTTTGTTGTTTTCTTTTTTTCTTCTTTTTTAAATTATTAAACTGTCTTTACCTCCGCCTTTACTCAGAGAGTTTTCACACTTTTACCCTTCCGATACTCTCCTGCATCCCACTGGCTGGGGGAGTAAGCGAGTGGCTGTGTGGTCCTTAGCTGCCTACCAGGGTTAAACCATGACACCTAGAATAACCTAGGCTATCACAATGAAAGCATGATTAACTGTAATCATGAGCCAAGGTAAGGAACAGAAATAGCCTTTGGAAATCCCAACTGTTTTTATATTTGAGGCCTGTTCACACTTAAGTTAGGTACCTGACTGGGCAGTCATCATTGTCTGGATCTCTAGCAGTTACAGCGCCCACCGATGAGCCACTCAGAGCCGCTTCAGCAATCTCCATCACATAGTTCTCGAAGGTGAAAACTGGAGGTTCATCAGCATCTTCCACATTGATTTTGACAATGGTTGTGTCTTCAAATGGTCCTTCTTTCAGAAAACGGTCATCAATGTACCTGTTTACAACTTTTGCTCGAATACTGTATCTCCTCTTGCTTTCATAATCCACTCTCTGTTAAGAAAGAGAGTAAGATGTGGAATATTTCTTTCTCCATATTTGAATTAAATACAGTTCAATAAGTGGTGTGAGATTAAAGACAAAATAGTGCTACCCTTCTTTTGGGAATGTTTCAAAAGTAGTTACTTCTAAGATTTCTTTTTTAATGTTAAAAACACTTTAAAATTAAACTGTGCTATGCCATTGTTTGCTTTCACATGTAGGCTGGCTTTAACGTTATAGTTAAACAACACTGTAAAAGAAGTCTTCCCGTAGAACGTCAGCCCTAAGAAAAACAACTTCTATTAGTACTTCCATTTCCAACATAGGTGTAACATTATTGAACACTATTCTTTACTCATACATAAACAATGCGAAACAATTAATCTGTAGGGGTTAAGCTGAGTATGTTAAAATTTAGTCTCTAAAGGAAATAAATTCCAGAAGGCAACAATGAGAGTTTAATAAACACATAGTTATATTATTTAGATAGTCATTATCTTCTGTAATTAAAAAAAGAAATACTAAATAAATACCTTCCTGAATTGTAATAAATCCAAATAGGAAAAAAAAAAAAAAAATTATAGCATTCAGTTCTTCAGGCTCCTGGATTTCACCAAACTATCACACTCTATCATCATTTCAGATGATGACCCAGATGACCCAGAAATCTTTTTATGTGATTCGAAAAGAAATCATACAGCATCAAAGGCTCTTAAATATCTTAATTCATAAACTGGTATCTTTTTGAGTTTATTTATTGTCTTTTCAAAGCTATGTCATAACAAAAACTTCACTGTTTATCTAATACTGTAATACATTCTGGCTTCAGTTAAGTTTAACAGGAGGTGTTGGAAGTGAGGAAATATTGTGTACAATTTATTGACAAAGATTTTACAGATGATGCACAGAAGAGAGAGAACATTTTCTCACAATGGGATACACTGCGTTGCACAGCTGGGAATAACATTAAGATACTTTGACTGCCACTATTGTATTCAGAAGTAATAGGAATAAGTCAAAAAAAGTAAACAGAAAGAAAAGCATGTTTCTTTTTATCCCCTTAATATCCCAATCAAATCACAAAGCCTGAAGAAAAAAATCATAGTAGAATCCAAAGCAATGGGTCTTTTTTAAACATCCAGCTTGCTTGAGGAGATTCTTTCTAGTGTTTAGAGATTTTTTTCTGAGATCTCACCTTTTTTAATAAGATAATTCCTTCTTGAGTCTCATTGTTAGTAATGATGTCAAAAACATCTGAGCTATCTCCTTCAATGAAATAGTTCATGGCTGCATTGTCCCCTATGTCGCTGTCTTCTGCAAAGACTTTGCCTACAGTAGTGCCCACAGGAGCCTCTTCAGAGACGCTCATATAGTAGAGTCCTAAAGAAACAAATACTGGCACAGTTTAGTGACCTGCCATGGCTAATAGCTGTTGTAGCTATGGTGGCCTGAGGCTCTCAAAAAGTTGGGGAAAGCCCCCAGCTTTTATTAGAGCAATGGATCTAATCCAGCAATGAATAGATCTTGGGGGCAGGGATGGCAAGCTTTCCACTCGTGAGTCCTCCTCTCTCAGCCCCACTTTAGCAGTAAATAAAGAGCTGAGAACCAACAGGGTGAAAAAACAGTGGAGGGCAGCACTTCCAAACTGCATTTCACTAGTTCTTCCTGACAGCCCAGCTAGCAGCTCCCATGTCTGCTAGAAACTCCCTGGACAGAGAAGGTCACACCCTTTGCCAAAAAATTTACAGTGTCTGTCAGCAAAGAATGAAGAGAGGAGAAAAAGAAAGAAAGTGAGTGAAAATGGTACTAAATATCCCGTTGCCCAGATTTTAGGCTTAGGTAGGGCAAAATATACGGAAAGCAGTTTAGTAAGCCATTTGTCTCCAAAGCCTAGCAATAAAACCAGCAGGCCTGAGGTCTTTTGTAATGATAGGTCTTCTTTTCCTCTTCGGTTTTGAGCTTTTATGTGGGATTTTTTAAATTATATTTTTATTTTTATTTAAATCTGTTCACTGAAGTTAAAGCACAGACCTCTTCTGAAAAGACCTACCAGTGAACTTAATAGAGCTACACTAGATCTGAATTTCCTCAAGACTTCAACCACTGTAAATAGCCTATACTCACGCTGTTGAAATTTAGGTGGATTGTCATTGATGTCAGAGAGGTTGATGGTAACAGTGTCTGTTGCTGAAAATGCCCCTGCTTGCCCAACCATGTCTTTGGCTTGGATGATGACCAAATACTGATCTTTTGTTTCTCTATCCATTTGGGAAGCCATTCTGATGACCCCTAAAAATGAAAAGCATAATATAATAACATATAATAGCCCAATTTTTTCCCAACATTTGGCCATATAATATGGGTATAAAAACATCATTGGACACAGTTATGAATTTACATTCTAGACCATGCACAGCGCAACTGTCCTAATACTGGGAATTAGTACTCATGGCAACATCTATGCTGCAAAACAAATCCATTCTGCATATTTAGAGTTCTGGGGAGCAGAACACACCATATATCTCCTCCACCATATATAACCTTCTTTCTTCCCCAGAAATCAGGATTTTGGAGGGATGTCATATATCTGTGGTTTCTCCAACATAGAGATAGTAATGTCACATAATGAGTCGTAGAACTATTAAGCCAGAAATGTTCCTAGGTCCATTTGTTGGATGGAATACTCACAATCCAACTCTTCTCTTTAGCAAGAAAATTTGCTAAATAAATTGAGTCTCTAGAGAGAAAGAATTTCAGCTTCCTATGGGAAAGAAAGAATTTATAGAGTTTTTTTAGATATAGGAACTATGCAAAGATGTACAAGTGTAGGGCCGTATCAGTTGATCTTTGTGTTGAAATGAAGACAGACATTTTTGCTTGCGTCCATTTTATGTTAGTTTATGAATGTTTTCAAATTACAAGGTCATTTGTAGTACCTGTCTTTGGCTCCACAGAAAAATAAGGCTGTCCCTGAATGAGACTGTAAAGCAGACGGGCACTATTCCCATAAGAAGGATCATCACCATCTGTAGCTGTTACCTGTGTAACCGAAGTACCTCAAGGAAAAAAAAAATAGATTATGTTTATTTTCTTCTTGTATAAATTATCTCATAATTACAAAACATAAACTCTTTAAAAGCCTTTTAACATACCAGTTATATTAGCAAACAGTCCTGAAAATTTACAGGAGCAAATGGCATCTTCTAAAATTTATCATTAAAAAGAGAAAATATTTCCTCAGCAACTGTTCTTGTTGCATTCAAATTTTCAATAAAAATAAAAATAAATAGCATATGACTTTTCAGCACTGTATTTATGTTGCTTAAAATATTACGTATCATATGCCTTTTTCCCTAATTTCTGATATGTGGAGTACAACAAATTGTTTCTCCTCCCCTTGTGTGTTCTTCAAAGTATTTTATGGAAGTTTTCCATGGGAATAAGAAAACCCAGCCACTATCACCAGTAGGTCCACTGGTGATAAAGAAATTAATTGTTAGCAAGTAAAGCAGCCAAGAAGTATAACAAGGCTCTGATAACATTTTTTAGCCTTGAGTCTTTAATGAGCCTGTCCCAGTGCAAGAGTCACGGCAGAATCCCCAGTGCAAAAGACACAGCAGAATCAATCTGCAGAGCTTTATTTTGTCTCTGGCTGGAAGCTGGTTATATCATAGATACAAGATTGACAGCAATCTCATGGCACCATCAGTGATGATTGCCCTTTAAGAGAAAATATTCACAGTAGCATCATTTTGTAAGGTAATCATTATTTTTGTCTTTTTTCCTCACCTAGGTTCTGCATAAGAATACAAATATCACTTCTCATGAGGAACAGAGGGAAATCAAGCTACTTTCTAAAACTTTCTGGCATACGTTTGTATGGTTGCACCTGCTTACCAATATAGCTGTGTAGTTATGCTGGAGGAGAAAAGAAGAAGAAACGATGGAGCGGAAGGTGTTAGGCCAGAAACACCTTTTTTATGGCAAACTCAAAAAGTTGATACTTATCCCCCATAAAACATATATATTAATTTCTGAGTTTTCTAGCAGTTCGTTTTATTTTTAAATAGAAATGAAGAAGGCTTTCTCATATAAGGTTATGCTGAATTAAATATTTTGATTATTTTAAAAAAATATTTTTTGCATTTTCTCTCAATTTATTCAGCAGCACTCCAAGTGATTATATAATGCATGTTATCTTCTCTCAGAGTAGAGGTACACTAAAATGTTATTAAATGCCACCAACTTTTGGAGTTATATGTCATTCAAAACATACTTACAATACCAAACTTCTGACATTTAGGTGTGTATTAGGTGTGTGTATAGATGTATACATATATATATATACTGTTCCCTATTGCTTTGAAGAAATTTAAAGATAAAATGACAGATTAATATTTAATCTGCACATATATGCTTCAGAAATAACAGTATTCTTTTATAAGACTGAAGGGTAAAGGAAATTCTCAGCTACACAACTGTTTACTTCATATCAGCTGTGGTCTATGGAAACTGTTCTAACTAGTACAGGAAATTAATCCTCGAAGACAATTTTGCATGACGAGAATGCAGTTGCTTTGGAAAAAAAAATGAAGTGCTAGTTAGGAAGGGATCAAGAACTGTGAATAATCAAATAGGTACAGTCTGTTATACATGCCGTTTTCTACTAAATAAACCCAAGTGCTCACAACTACATTTAGAAATTGACTTGTTTAGAGCACCATATTTAATAACTCAGGAATAAAATCCAAGAAATATAGGACTGTAAAGTTATCATTACAGTTTTTTGCATCTCACTGATTTAAAGGTAGATTTATTTTCTACACAGTTTCTAACCTTTAGAAAGAAATGTTGAATCTAAACCAGCATTTGCTGCTTCTCTAAGCCCCAGCCTACTTTTCTGCTTGCCTGTTGACTCTTCCAGAGTATAGCAGAAGGCAGAAGCATGGAATTTGCCCAGTTGGGCTCAGTGAGATGCAGCTGGTGGATATAACGGAAAGGTGAGCAGGCAAGGGGCATCTGGTAAAGAGGGAGCCGAACTGGAGGGAAGAAATGACAGATCTCCTGCACTCTCAGGAGGAAGACTATTTTTAAACTGGGGTGGCAGGAGACCATGTAAAGAGAGGACTATGGTTTTCACACATTTTTTTAGGACAAAGATTTCATGATGACTATATGAATCTCTACATTAAATATGGACTATGTAATAAGCAGAAGAAAAATGTTATTCTGGGTTTAGAATACTTTTTCAGTTTTTAATTTTTCACTGCCATGAAGCCTGTATTTCTTTATACATTCAACCTACAGTAGACAAAGCAAGCCATTTGTTGAATGGAATCATGTTTACCGAGACATTTGTATTTGAGTGATAGAAATTACAATGTTAATATTATGTACTCAAAAACTCCAAAAAGCTATTTTTTTGTAACTCCGTGGTTGGGAGAAGAATAATTGATCAGATACAAAGAATATCTTTTAAAACAATCAATTAACACATAACACCCCCAAACAAACAAACATACAACAAAACCCCCAAACCCCACCTCTTGACAGTCCAGCCATGACATGATATAATTGACAATCTAACCATGATACAGTTTCACAAGACTTATGTGAAAATGGATATCATGGCACAGACAAATTCACTGAATATGTCTGTGGGCTTTCAAATATGCGTTTTTGAATATGGGAGTCTGTGTGATGTTGATATAAGGTTTAGCCCCGAATATGTGTTTTATATACACAGTAATGTCTTAAGCTGGATAGTAAACATGCTTACACATTTTTTGCTTTTTATTAGCTTTATTTAAGGCAAACTACATTTTACTGGTTGCTGTATAAGATTTTTCTTTGTATTCCTGCAAGCCTTGGTTTTACCCTTCTTGGGCAAAACATAGTAGTGCCACTTATATATCGCAGCCCATTAGGTAAACTGTAAGGCCCTCATGCTGCAAATAGTTATTCATTTTTCTAACTAGAGCTTGAAATCTATAAAAACATTAAGTACTGATATATTATTGTATCTGACTCTTAACCATTCCATCAGATATACTGCATTTGTACAAGTTTAACAGCTATATGGAAGACACAATGTAAAATTGTACCAAATGCCTGAGGGAAAACCACAGCCCTGTGTTCTCAGAAGAGAGTCCATTTGCTGACACACTTTTCATTTACTGTGACATTTGCATATAAAATCCTAATAAAATTTAGTGCTGAACATAAAAGAGAGCTAAAAAAGAAATAAAATATGTTCTAATTTGTTGGCACATTAGTATATATGTATACCGATATTTGTACCTAACTTTACGCAAAATTATCTGTGCCTATTTTCTATTTTTCTGTGTTTCTCTGAGGCAAGTGGCCGGCTGTGAATTATTCTCTCCTTGCTTTCTTAGTTCCAGACAAAACGTTCACTAACAGTGAACTGCTTTCCCAAGTAGTGACCACGCTTCCTGAGCATGTTTTCTATGAGGAAATTACTAGGAGATCCCAGGTCTAGCATAAGTGAGCTGAACTGCTGCTAGAGAGCTCTGAAACAGAGCAAAGGCAAAGTCTCTCTATTGCAGATTATCATTTAAACTAATTCTTGTCTACATCCCTTACTATGCAGGAAGATGTTCTATTTTACTGGGAAAAAAGCACTGATATAACTATTACGGTATCAATGTTGCAAATTGTAGTTGGTTACTGTTTCTATCTACTGGGAGGTTAGAAATTTCTTTGTAAGGATTAATGCTTTAGGATGTACACTGAAAGAGGTTTCACCTCAGAAGTGCAGTCCCTACCCTTTGAGAAGCAGGGTAAGTGAGCCCAGAGAAGTCCTCATGGTGTGGCTCAGCTGTTTCATTGGAGCTGACCACTGTTAAGGTATATACTATTATATACCACTCCACTTACATTCTATATGCCAGACATACACATTAATATGCCAGCAGTGTAGCAGTGTCTACATGGAAGAAGTAGGTGAAAGAATGATCTCTGAAGTAGCTATGGTATTAGTGCTAGAGATGTTAAACGTAGAAGAAGCGGTGTAGAAAATATTTCAAGATTCATAGGACTGACTTAGATTCATATATCATACATTGGATGATTGCAAATCTGTGAGTTTACTCTTTCAGGTAGTCTGTGTCTGAGAGAGGAGGCACACAGGGTTCTTGTTTTATTTTTCACCCATTCTGACAAATGGGAGGTGGTGTTACTTGTGATTTTTTTTTTTTCATTTCTTATATTTCTACATTTTACTAGAATCTTTTTTTTTTTTTATAATCTTACAGGACTATCACAAAATAAATTAAGTTTTTTGCAGTTTAATTTTATGCTGAAGTGATACAGTATTTTAGGAATTTAAATATATAACAGATGACACAAGAGATTGGATAAAGACTGCTGAGCCTTTCATTTTTAAGGTATCAGTTTATAGCCAACTCAAGTCAATATGGATTGAAACTTCTCATCTGCCAACCGCTTGTTGATGGTTTCAGGTGAGAAAGAGAGGTATACAGGAAAATATTACTACTGTCATTTTTGGCCATAAGAACTGCCCTACCTAACTTTTTTTTTTTCCCCCCATATAGTCATCATTAAGACAGGAGCTCATCATTAAGACAGGAAGATAAAATAGAAGGAATCCCTAAGTCAATTCTTGATATACTTCTGTGAATGGTTACAGGTCTGTGTGAGTACAAAACAAGCTATACTAAAGTATTAGTTATTTTAAAAACATTTTTATAAGAGACCAAATGCCTCATAAACAACACTTTACCACAGGAAAAAAAAAAAAAAAAAAAAGAATAAAAAAAAGGGAAAGAAAAAAGGACATTGTCAAAGTCCTAAATCTGTGCAATCCCAGATAAAAATACCCAGATAATTCTAGACAATGAACTATGCCCATTATTACTGTGAGCATATAAAAAAATATTGCAAAGGTCCCTGACAAGGCACCTGTCTTCTTGCCTCCAAACTTGAGTGAATGAACAAGATGCAAATGCTAGAATTCTGTATCCTCTGAATAAGCAAATGATTGTGTTAGAAAAAGTTATTTGACCAAGAGCTCAGATGCAGAAGTCTTGAGAGAAATAAGTCTGTCTGAATGGAAGAAAGTAGCAGTGAAGAAACAATCATACACCCAAAAGTGATTTTCCCTGGTTGAAGGTGGTATAAGCAGGGTGACTAGGAAATAAGTTGATTAAATGGATGTCTTTTGTACTGCTGGTAGTGATGGTGAGCTACTGCTTCCTGGCAGAAATTAGGATACTAACCCCACTTTTGATCAAACCTCAGGCATGAATATCCTTTTCTTGAAACTCCTATCCAGGCTGGCAAAAAAAGCTAAAGTTTACAGCTACCTGTGAAAGGTTCACTGAATCTGCCCTAAAAGTTGAATGGGTAATGCTAAAAGTAACATAGTTTTTATTACCTTTTATGATCACTGATGCTATGATGTTAATGACCTCATTAATTCATACAGTTTTAAGTATCACAATATTTGAATTTCTTTTCAATATTATTTGTAATAGAAATAACTAAAAGAGATAGGGGTACAAATTTAAAAGATTACTGGGATTCTTCTGTAAGATATAAAGAATCTAGTTTTCCTTTGATTTTGAAGATAATTATTTGAAGATAACTCTCTATAACATGCTTGTTTATGTCAGCTGCATTCACACTTTTTTATTTTTAAGGATTTAAATGTATGTGTATACACATTACATATACATATACATATGTATATACACATATATGTATGTATACACCTGTATTTGTCAGATGTTGACTTTGCTTCATATTTTTTGTATTAAATTTGCAGATACATGACAGATCCTAGTACAGGTCTGTTTGATTGTGTGCAGGTGGGAAAGAAGAGGTGCAGGGTTTAAGTTGTTCCTCTTGACAGGAAAATTAAAATTAATGTGTTTAGGCAATCAGAAGGCAGTCCTTCACTGCACACCATCTAATCCAAACAAGGAGAAACTGACTGATAGCAAAGAGGCTTGGAGTGTAAATAGATAGGGATCATACATGGTGTGAGGGTGGTCATCACAGCAGCCCCACATTGGCTTCATACCATTCCTGTTCTGAACCCATTACTTATAGGAAGGAAATTATCCCTATCTTTGGGGGGGAAATTGTGAGTGTCTGTGATGTGAATGTGATTCTTTTCCAGTTACAGTACAATATGATTTATACTACACAGCATATAATGAAGACATATTGTTTAATTATTAAGCAGAATCAGAGTAGACTGAAGGATGCTGTTGAGTGCTTTTCAGTTCAACCATGCTTATATTTATGTCCTTAAAAGAATCAGTTGAAGTCAGAGGACTTTAAAGTTTACATGCATGGTATTTTTCTTTCAGATTTGTAGAAGCCTGAAGAGCTGACAGGTTGTAACTATAATCACACACTGAACAATTTTCTATAGACTACGGTGCTATACTGATTGAAAAAGTAGTGAAATCTGTCAGCCCCAAATCTCCTTTGCAGTATCAACTGGCTATAGTACTCTACCTATTTCAAATGGTAATGTTATATTTTTAAACAAGTACCAATTTCAAGGCTGAATCACTGTTGGGAAAGACAACTCTATACTCAATCCAAGCATGTATCCAGATTCTGTAGAAGGACTTGGATACATGCAGGTACCTAAATATTTAAAGGCAAGGATGTTAAGTAGAGGTATGCACAACCTTCAGTTTAAGCATATAACTTGGCAAATTTCAAAGCTTATAAAATAGTTTGCTTCCTTCTCACTGAAAGGCAGTCTAGAAAATATGCTATTAAGATTTTATATTGATATAGCTATCCAGAAAAAAAATCAGGAAATAAAGAGCATGTCATACCTTCAGGTGACATCTCCGGAACAGTGGCCACATAAGGTCCATCCAAGAACTGTGGTTCATGATCGTTGACATCTCGAACCTTGATAACAAATTCTAATTCAGGTTCAACAGGAAGCTGAGTGCTCCTGTTAATTGCTTGTGCTCTTAGAGTGTAGAATGGTTTCTTTTCTCGATCCAGCTTTTGTGTCACGTAAATTTTGCCGTTATTTTCAATGATAAAAATGCTTCCAGCTCCCTCCCCAGTCAAAATGTATTTTAGGTTGCCATCCTGCTTGTCTAAATCTGATTTCAGCTGCAAGTATAAAACAGAAAAATAAGCCACATTTTGGGAGGAATAAAGTTTTAGAACATTCATTTTAGGCTTTGTTTGTTTTCATTCCACAGTGAACCCTGTCACTAGTGAGCCTTCTTGGATACTAATATTTAAGAGGGTACTGTCACATTTTTAGCCAGTCATAGCTCAGTTTTAAAGTATTGATATAACAGGCATATAAATGCATGGTAAACCTGAAAAAAGTTGTTTCAGCCACTTCGAAGTGAAGGGAATTAATGTAAGTACCTACTTCAGTTCATTGCTTTATCAGCTCCCATAAACTTCTGCTGAAAATGATGCAAAGGTCATTAAACATTATCTAAATTTTTTATTATTACAAATCACAAGTGTACTTTGTAAGTTTTATGTATTTTTTTTGTACTCAGCAATACTAAGTGTAAATATGAGAGATGGTGTTCTATTTCTGTTGAAATATTAAAGAGATGAAAAGCCATTCTATGTTATAAGCTTGTATTATTTATTCTGAAATAAATTGATAGACATTTTCCATTTCCTTCCAGGATGATCTGCATCCTCTGTTGTCTTCCTAAAATGAACTTTATGGTGATGATTTCTCTGATGAAGCTGAGCCCTGGAGACCATTGCGGTCCAGCTGCATTTGTTCATGCCAAAGAAATAGTTCTGTTAATGTAAACAATATATAACAGTACTTTTTTAATAACAATAACTTAATTTCTTAACATGTCAAGCATACACAGTTGAATTTTTATGGGAACAGCAATTTCTATCATATCATTAATTTTCTACTGTTTTCTTTATTTATTTTGGGTTTAGAACAAAAGTTGTAAAAATCTCTAAAAGTTTGCATAATCATTGAAAAATCCAATGTTAAAAAAAAAAAGTTTTAGTCAACCTGCTTCTCCTACAAAGCAGCAGGTTTTAAATGCAAATATGTCTACCTGTTGACTTCAATAATCTCACCGTTTTGCTTCATGCTTATTGACCTTACAGCTCAGTGTAGAATATGAGACCACAGAGTAGTAAAGAAGTAACTATGGGGTGTAAAGGGTACATTTCCTTATTGGATCTACTCAACATATTTTGCAATAGCTTCTGAAGTTGCAAAAATCTTTTTAACTTTTCTTTGGAACAATGCCCGTGCCTTTTGAAGATTTTCATAACACATAATTGTCTGCATGCATCAAACAGATAGTTTATTCAGAATGTGACTGGAACACTGCTCTGAGATATGAAGAACAGTTTTGAGTTCCTGCTCTGAGCTGTGTCAGAGTATTTAAGCCCTAAATTATAGAGTTAATTCCCCTTGCCAATTCAAGAGATATAGAAATTTCAAGGCTAGGGAGTTTAGAACCATTTAAAATATGAACAACTTAAAGTCAAATATTTTCAACATAAGTAGTTGTGTGCAAAACATGGGGCAGGTTCACCCCTTTATGAACAGTCTGGTTGAACTCATTTTAACACCATCTAAATTTGGCATCTGGCTAAGGGGCACCACAGATTCTTTTTGATCCATAAATCTTGGTTTCCTTGTCATGAACCCCAGGGCATGGGAAAGGTGATGAATATATAGATCTTTAACCTAAGATGGGGTTCAGATGTGGTCACAGAGTGCATCAAACCCTTAGAGACTGGAAGCATGCCTCGGACTAGCTGTTTAGACATAACCTGTGTTGAACCACTTCACTCAGACTCATTTATCCTCAAAAGATTTTCATGACCTTGACCATGTTAAATGAGAGGTCTCTTACAGATGACATTTGCTGAGAAAGTAAAAACTGAAGGTTCTCAGTTTACTTGTTTTATTAAGCTAGATGCAAAAGAATACATGGTCTTTCCATTGTAAATGAGAACTGGGAACAAGAATTTATGTACTTGCACTCATATGTCTGTCATTGCAGTGCTGATGGACACTTTTCTTTATCTTAAACATGTTAAATGAAAAGGATTCATGAGTCTATGTTAAATGAAATTTGAAGATTGAGCTCTGAATCTGATTGTGAAAAGAAGTTTAAATGGAATAGTGACTTAAAAACAGAGACTGTCTACCTTTGTATTTTCATTGATGCAGTTTCCTTCAGGGTCTTATTTACTAAAAATTCATGTGTTGATCATAGACTATCACTTCATTTACTGAAAGCAGAGCATATTCTTCTCAATAAAAGACACAAGTAAATATGTCTGATTAGACAATGGTTAGATTGCAATAAATTAACCATAATCTTAAAAAAAATTCCCCATAGTTTACCTATGAGAAATAGAAAGGCAAGATTATGAAAATTTTCTAAAGCTGTATGAAAATATATCACATTTATGAAGTTTCTTTACAGGAAACTGTTTTCCAGCTATGGGAAAAGCAATAATAATTAAAAAATGAGTATGTCTACATTTGTTCTTTCAGAAGTGAGACATCACACTTCCATAGTAGTTACTTTGAAGGGGCTGTGAAAAAGTAATTAATGAATTTTGAGCACTTCACCCTTTGGGCCCAATTAAATTTTAGTGCTAGTTAATTAGCAGTTAAACTTATTTTGGTTCATTCATCTAGAAAGTGCCTTAAAGAAAAGAAAACTAGATCTCAAGATTACAATTACTTCTAGCATACAAAAATAAATAATAATAATAAATAATAATAATAATAATAAACAGAGAGAGAAGGAAGGGGCAGATGAAGCCTCATTAAGACAATTTCTAGCATACAAAAATAAATAATAATAATAAATAATAATAATAATAATAATAATAAACAGAGAGAGAAGGAAGGGGTAGATGAAGCCTCATTAAGACAATTATCTTAAAGCACATTTTTAAAGGAGGGTGAAAAATAATTGCTCGTGCTAAACCTACGTTAATCTAATGGACCGTGCAGATTCCTGTAGTTTCTCAGTGGTAAAAGGATTTGGTATTAATCTGCTTCATTAAAAATTAATGAGGGGTAAATCAGCTGCTACTTAGTGTAATAGAAAATCATGCTAAATACTGTTTGTAAACTACACTGCACTCAGTATGGCTGCTTTGATGCAGTGCCAAAAATAGCACAAGCAAATTGCCAGATGTTGATAAATGAGTCCTTAACTTTCAAGAAGACAGAAAGGAACTTTTCAGCTTGATACCTTCATCTGCTGTGTATGGAAGTAGTTTTAGTAACAAAGTGAATGTGGAGTCTCCTTGACAGCAGATCTAGGTGAAGGAAGGTCCTTGGTACTGCTACAACCTCCAGCTCTTGGAGTGCTCTGACCCTGTCAGGTCACAGGAAAGGAGAGATGTTGTGCTGCCTAATTACAGCTCCCTGTGCTCCTCTTTCTACCTTTCTTGATATTTTCAGGTCACTGGAGATGCTTGGTCTTCCAAGTCAAGGTAGTAAGCAACGCTAAATCTAAACTTGTATCGTACTTGAATCATTACTTATCATACCTGTCCAACATACACAGGCACCACTGAAGTCTGTTCCTCAGTTGCAAAAAGTGGCTCCCATACCCAGCCATGTTTCACTCTTTGAACTGCTGTGAAAGACTGATCTGTGTTTTGAGCGCTGTGGTTCTGCATGCTTGGAGAGCAAGGCCAAAGTTGAACCAGCATCAACACAAGAGATAACAATGTGGAGCAATTCATGCTGAACCCTTCTTTCAATCAATTTTCATCTGTGGAAGAGGAGAAAAAAAGAAAAACTTTGACAAAGCATCACTTTTGTCTTTCCACTTTTACGTATTGATTCTGTGCTAATATAAGAACTGATTTGCAGTGTTAAAACCTCCTCCTCTCCCTAAAAAGAAAGAGCTGAAACAAAGTCTGTTTCTGATTAAAATAGAGATTCTCTTAGATACTCTGGCATGAAAGTCAAGTGTTCAACTTTCCTTTATGAATATCCTACACAGGGACTTTCTATGCAAAGAAGGAAAATCATCCTTCAATTAATTCATCTTCCAAATTAAGCTGGGTAATTGTACTGTGTAGCCTAGGAATAATTTGATTGGAATAATTGTATGTTTCTGCTTAGACAGGGCTCATTTTGAGCTGCAGTCACAGAACTGCCTGAAGGGTGAACATCTAGCCTTAGTGGCCCTGATGATTGACAGCTGAAACAGAGCAGTGGAGG